TGCATAACAAGACTAATATCCTACTCCAATGGCTCCAGATATAGGGACTTTTCCTGCAGATATGTCAGCAGAAATGTCTGCAGGAAAGATTTGATTTCTGCAGGCAGGAATTTAGGTTTCCCCGGCAAAAATTTCTGCACAAATTCTCCCTCAGAAATTCCTGCAAGAAAAATTCTTCCTGCAGAAATTTCTAGAGTATATGTTGGCTCCTTTTTCAAGACTTACTTCATTGTTATGTATTAAAGATGTTAAGTATTAATAGAAAAAATAAATATGTAGCAAAGAATTCTGTCTGTTAATGTAAGCACATAAGAAGCTGTGAAGCACTTATGTGCTATGTACTGTGTTGTTATCATTGTATTGTTTCTGCATTTTTATTGTACCCAGATCTACCTGAAAAACAGGTCAAATCACCTGAGTGTATCTTCTGGTTAAATAAATAAACTGAAACTGAAATGGGATTTCTATTTCAGCAAGTGGGGTGCGGCGAACTGTTCTCTCAACGGACAAACTCCCTTGGCATGCTTATCTCTCTACTTGGCCGATTTCTACTCTTTCCAGCCGCCTCCCCAAGCCTGGTAGAGGCTAGGTGATAAGGGATACACCACATTGTTCCCACTCGAGAACACACGCCTTTCAAATTGCGAAATGAGCCAAAATTTGGTGTTTACCTAGATTGAAAAATACAACAACATCCGAGTTCCAATGTGCAAATCTGGTATTTGAATTTTCCAGTTATTCTATTATTAGAACATTTTGAATCCCGTGCTGTATATCTAGTTGTGACACAGACCAGAACAACCATAAAGATAGAATACTACACAGTGTATTCCGCATCGCCCAAGGTACCAGCCTGACCGCGGGGTCAGCCATCGGGCATCCAATCTGCAGGAGGTCTGAGGCTGAGGTTGATGTCATAGTTTTGTTTGTTTCGCATAACCGGTAAACCGCCTTTAGGCGTAACACACCAGTTTTGTACATGTGCGTACCCATCCAAGAAAACAGACATTTTAATGAGAAATGTGCCAAAATTTGGTGTATCTAACCAAACAAGTTACAGCGTGATTTCCAACATCTGAATTCGGTTTCGAAGTTTCGAAAGCGGCGCACTCGGTTCTTGCAATATGCTTGTGAAATTATGTATAATGGTCCAAAGTGTTATATATAATTATGTATAATGGTCCAAAGGGTTATGTATAATTATGTATAATGGTACAAAGAGTTATACATAATTATGTATAATGGTACAAAGGGTTATGTATAATGGTCAAAGGTGTTATGTATAATTATGTATAATGGTCCAAAGGGTTATGTATAATTATGTATAATGGTCCAACAGGTTATGTATAATTATGTATAATACCAAAATCATTATGTATAATTATACATAATTATAGTATAATTATCTATAATTTGACTATTCCCAAGGGACTCATCAATGCTTTCCGCATATTCATTACCACCTAATATGTTACCATAAAAAGTATTAAGACAGTTGGGTTAAGCGTTTGGGATTTATGGGTGGGAGTCCATAATTAAAACGTTTTTCCATAATTATATCGCGGCTTGTTTTAAGCATCTTCAATCTGTTTTTATGTAAGGAAGTAAATGGGTTTGATATGCAAATTCTTTCTGTAAATACTCAAGGTGTTTTCTCCCTACTGCAATAATTATTATTTATTATTGATATCAAAAGTCCTTCAGATCTACTTATCATAAAATATTTTCTGCAAATCACAGGTGGGCGTAATGAGTCCTGGAGAGGCTGCTGGGAGTAAACAGCCTTCTCAGTGTTAATATTCAAAACCAGTTTCAGACAATAAAATATAACACAACCATAGGAATATGACTCAATACTTATAAAATATATCTCACTTTAAGCAGAGTTCCAAATAAGTGCATGAAATTTAACCAACCATAGTATTTGCATTCAATGATACCAGACTTTAACATACATTAATCTGCATTGTCTAGGGGCAATTGTTTGTAGATTAGCCCAGAGCCTATAAATTTATCATTATAATTGTAAAACAGCAACACTATTCAATATTCAAATTGCCAGCTACAGACAATCAACACAAGCATATACATTGTAAGTAAGACTTCTTTCAAGGCTGTTTGTTACCATTAGTGCAGCTACCCACTGCAGACATTCTCCTGAATCATCCTTTCCTGGCCCAGGAAGTAAAGAACTTAGTCTATGAACATCCTCCATCGTGACTAGCTTGAAAGGAAAATCTGGGAAACTCACACAGGTAAGTCTATACCAGACATGTAGCGATTACATTGTAAAGTGTGGTCACATTATTTTGTTATGCAATTTTTGGCAATGTTGTAAGACTAAGAGTTACAGCATGGCTACAACAGAAGACTTACATGTAGTGTCTGTTGAGAGACTACAGAGTGGTGTCTGCTGATTTTTGTACCACACTTTGCTATAAACTTGTAATATGGTTTGGCCTATCAATTATTTTTGGTTTAGAAAAGGGCTCATGAGTCACCTCAGCACCCACAAAACCAGACAACCTTACCAATTAGTAGTTTGGCACTTTTGGCTTAGTACATGTATTTAATGACCTTACAAATTTTTGGAATCAGGAGGAAGATGGACTGAAATATTGTATTTGCTCCCAAGCAAATGTCTGCCTTTCTGGTTGAAGTTTTTTCAGTTGACATTTTAGACTGGCACTGATTATAGTCTCCGATAAGCCCCAAATCACGATCAGTGGTGAATACTTTAATTTTTATTTGATCCATACTTAAATCAGGAATTAATGGTACTGTAAGAACTGTAGGTACATTTGTAACAGGAGAAAGGATTTTGAGCCATGATTCTTGTCTGTTTATTAATTAGGTGACAGAACATGGGGAGAAACCTACAACATGTGCTGATTTTCCTTCTCATCATCCTGAAGGAACCCAACATGCTAGAAGCTGACTGCAGTGCTAGCTGTTCACCATCATTGTGTAACTGTGCTAATTTCCACCTCACTAGCATCCCTCAGAACCTGCCAAAAACCATCTCTACCTTGGGTTTGAAAAATAATCAGATTACAACTATAAGTCAGTCAGAGTTTGCAAGGTATGAGAACTTCATAGAATTAGACCTGAACACTAATCTTATAACTAACATTCATAATGATACATTCTCAAACCTACCTCGGCTCCAAACTCTGTACCTGCATATAAACAGGATAACTAAGATTCAGTTTGGTTCACTTTCAAATTTACCCGAGCTGCAAAAGCTGTGGCTCAACTCTAATAAGATAATTATAATTCATTTTGGTCTTTTCTCAAATCTCCCCCAGCTCCAAGATCTGGACCTTGCCATGAACAAGATTACTAAAATTCATCCTGATACATTTTCAAATCTATACAAACTGAAAACATTGAGTTTGCAATTCAACCAGATAACTGAAATTCAGGCTGGTACATTTTCAAGTCAATCCCAGCTTGAATTCTTGATCCTGAACTCTAACCAAATAACAAATATTCAGCCAGATACATTTCCATATCTGCCCAAGCTCCGAGAGCTATTCCTACATGCTAACAAAATAACTAACATTCAAAATGGTACCTTCTCCAATTTACCAATGCTCCAAAGTCTATTTCTGCACTCCAACAAGATATCCATTCTCCCCTTGTCAGCTTATGTTACATTTTCATCCATTCATTATGTTCATATTGACCACAACCCCTGGCAATGTGACTGTAAGATGGTTCCTTTCAGGTTAAAAATGAATGGGACTTTTTCTTTTGAAAATCAGATAAAATGTGCCCAACCTGCCAACCTCAATGGACAAAGGCTTAAAGACATCAATCCCAAAGATTTGATCTGCAAGGAGCCACCTGTAGTTCTCTGGTACTTCAATCCCAAATGCAGTGCTGACCAGAAAATACCACATCCTGTAGACACCACATTTGCCTCACTGCCTGTTGATACAAACAAACCAGAGAGCAACAGCTCCCATGACAACAGCTACCATGAATCTGCTCCCAGGTTCCCCCTATCTGTTGTCATTGGCACTGCAAGTGGTTCAGTGTCTGGTATTTGCCTGATTGGTATCATCATTTTCACAACTTGGTGTAAAAGGAGGGCAAGGAATCTTCCTTCAGATCCTAACACCAAAGTTGCTTCAGGTGCTAGAAATCTTCCAACAGCACCACAGTTAGCACCCCCACAGTCTAATCCTATGTACAACATAGTTGTGGAAACGAGACCAAACAACCCAACATCTAATGAAGGTACAGAACCAGAGAAGCCTGCTGAAAGCACGGCCCATGGGCCAATCCCAGGGGGTCCCATTCCCCC